AAGCCCGAGGAGGGCACGGTTGCTGCGGGCTCCTGCCTGGGAGCCACAGCCCAGTGCCCCGCAGGAGCGAGAAGGGGGGAACCCGCCAGCGGCCTCCCGTCATGTCTTGGGTGCCGAGCAGGACGGCTCCTGCGGCGTCCCTGCCCGTGGTCCTGGCTCAGTCGTGGCCCCAGCTCAGAAATGGAGAAGCCAGACAGGGAACTCAAAGCCCGGAGCCGGCCCTGTGGTCTGAGCTGTGAAAACTGGGCGTGCCGGTCTGGGGGGACCGGCCCACGGCACCTCCCACTCTGCCCGCAGCGTCCACTCCCGGCAGGCCTCCCTCCCGCTGGCCGGGCGGTCACGGTGCAGGGCTGCTCATTCTTTTTTGAACGAAAAGCCGACCTGCTTCGCTTCCCCGGCTTTGTTCTTGTTTTACGTGGTTTCCGTGTCGATCACAGAGCTGCCAAAAGTGTGGGACCAACATAGAAACGTGACCCCGTACACGCGCCCGGGAGAGGCCAGGCCAGCGGGCGTGGTCCCATTGCCTTTCCCGCCTGTTACCTGGAGTGTCGTTTCCAACCTGCCCCTCACGCTGCGGGGCTGAGCGCGCTTCTCTCTCCTGCAGCGTTTCACGCCTACGGGAAGGCCGGGAAGATGCTGGTGGAGACCAGGTAGGCGCCCCGTCGGGCTGCTCCGTCCTCCCTCCCCGCGGCTGACGCCCAGGCCGGTGGCCGGGGACTTGGTCTGTGTTTCTGAGCTTATCGTACCTGAGAGTAGGCCACGTCAGGTTGAAGGCCTTCTTTACGAAGGGAAATAAAACGCTGGAAAACTCGGGACAGAGTGCAGGGCCGCTCCCGGGCTGGGTCACGCCTCGGGCTGTTCCCGGCACTGTGGTCCGGGCCTGAGCGTGGCTGCGAGTGGCAGTAGTTGGAAATGTCCTGTTTTCTCCCTTTGGAGCACAACCGTCTGAGACGGACACGTTGCTGGGGGGTCGCACTTTCAGGCTCGCAGCCGGGACAGTTCCGAGAGCCAAGAGCCGCTGGGTCCTGGTCCCTGCTCGCCCGGCTGCGGGCGTTTCTGCGGCCCCTGGGCCTCAGCGCCCGCGAGAGCCGATGCCCGCAGAGAGGAGCCGGCGCTGGCGCCTGTGTGTCTAGGGAACAGCGGGCTGCACAGACGGGCCAAGGCCCGCACCTGCGAAACCGCATCCTCCACGCAGCCCGGCCTTCGGGTGGCGGTCGGCCCGTGGCTGGGGCGGCCTCGCGGGGAGCAGACCCCGAGACTGCGTGAGAACCAGCCCCCCTCTTGCAGCATGATCGGGCTGATGCTGGGGACCTGCATCGCCTTCTACGTCGTCATCGGCGACCTGGGCTCCACCTTCTTTGCCCGGCTGTTTGGGTTCCAGGTAGGGCCCCTCCCCCAGGAGTCCCGCCCCCAGCCCCTGCTGCGGGCAC